TTTGCCCAGCAGCTGTCTACGCCAGGTCTATGCCCAACAGCTGTCTACACCAGCTCTATGCCCAACAGCTGTCTACACCAGCTCTATGCCCATGGCTTGGTGTCCACTGAGTCAGTTTCAGATTTCCCTTATTGTCCCTATACCACCCACCAGCATCTCTGGCCTCTGCAGCCAGGCTGGCCCCTTGGTCTGCTCCCCAGGCTTCCTTTGGCTTGGCATGGAATCCTCTTTTAGTGTAGGCTTCTGCGGCCTCCTGCCCATCCCTCATGGGCCTGGTCCAATACCCTACTCTCACCACTGGGGTCCTGTCTCTTTCCTTTTCAAAACCTCTTTTAAAAACCAAATCCTTCCAGGAAGGTCTTAAGGCAAAGAGCAAATCGTGATAATGTTAAGGAGCAAAAATTCAACTGAGTAAATTTGAAGATCTCATTGACGTTAATCTAGTCAGGAATCAGGCAGCATCCCATCTAGCAAGTAGAGGAGGGCTCTGAGTTGTACAAAATAGAAGGGTTTTATAGGAATGAGGGTGGGGCGGGAAGTCATTAGAAAAGGAAAAGAAAGGATTCTTCCAGGCAAGGTCACATTCCATTAGGGGAAGGGCAGGGGGGGTCTTAGTAGGTAGATTACCTCACCTAACTTTTGGGGTGGGTTGGGGGGTTGGTGCTGGAGAAGGCCCATGTGACAGATTACAATGTCGTGGGTGCTGTTCAGAAAATTCCTGACTGATCTATTAAGACTACATTTCTGGGGGAGGTTGAGACGTTACTTAGGTTAGGTCTTCCGCACTGGTTTGGTGACTTGCCTTAAGTGGCTCCATTCTGGGCTTTTGTTTTTCTATTTAGCCATAATATGCAGTTTTCCTTTACCTCTACCCTTCCACAGCTTATTAACGGTGAGAGGAAAACTCCCAGAAGAAGATAAAATAGCCCAAACTCCTAGAACTCTTTGTATTTGAGATGCAGCCTTTAAGAAGGCCTCAGATAGGCTAGAGGCAGGAGCGGCTTGCCGGCCTTGAGAGAAGGCTGGCTTTTCAGGGGAGGGGAGGGGCTCCGGGAGGGCTTCTGGAGAGGAAATAATCATGCACACAAAAATCGAGACCTGATAACCTTCATAACGGCTGTGACATTGTTTAGCTGGAAAACTGCCAGAGAATTGGCCGCACTGGCTAGCTACATGCAAATTAAATGCAAATTAGTTACCAACTCGCTTATTTTAGTCCTCGCATTCGCTCACCTTGCTTCAGCCCTTGGCCCTGGCCCAGAGTGGGAATGCAGAATTCTACACCCTAGCATGAGTGCCTGACCCCTGCTGCGTGCCCAGTCAAATGCCATCCATGAGCTTGCTAAATTCCTTGAACAAGAACCCTGTGAAGGCATGCATTCATGGAATTATTATAATTGTCTGGGCCTTGCAGCAGGGTGTACGCCTCAGCCAGCATTTTTGCCTTCCAAATTTCACATCCTTCTAAACAGAGCCACCGTCACGTATTAATAGCTGAGGAGGATCTTCAATGCTAATCAGTGCCCTTTGAGTAGAGCCTGACAGAGGAGGGGTTTGCATTGGGAGGACATGGCCTTTGGCAGCAACTTCAGGCTGGGCCCTGGGTTTGCAGCTTGCTTGCCTAGGAGGGATGCAGCCGAGAGATTCTTGCAAACACTGGCCCCCGTATGATCACCTAGTATGGGAGGGGGCTTATGTCTAAAGTGCTTCGGGGCTGGCGCGGTGACAGGGCTTGGGAAGGGAAGAAGCCAGGGAAGTTGGCTCTACCAGCCCTTCTGAAGGGAAAATGCATGTGTGTTCCAGGTCACGGCCTCTGTGGACAGTGAGGCAGGTGGGATCTTGACATCGGTCACACCAAAGCGATCTCTGTGTGACGGACGGTGGCACTCCGTGACAGGTATGATGTCCGGTGACCTGTTGTTCACACCCTGAAACAGTCTCCCTTTCCTTCTGGACTTGAATGTCCCAAAGGCAGCCTCAGCTCCTCAATCCATTAGTGTCTGACCAGACTCAGCCCCCGCGGGTTAACAATGGTGAGCACATGTCCATGGTCAGCCCCAGCTGTATCGATGCCATTCGGGGTTGCTGCCGCCCGTCCTCCATCACCTACAGAGAATTTTTCTTTTCTTTTCTTTCCTTTTCTTTCTCTCTCTCTTTCTTTCTTAGCTCAGAAAACTGATAAGCTCTATTTGTTTTCAAGGCAGTACAACATTATGATTTAGATTTTGGCTCTGAAATCAAGAAGAACAAAGGTCAAATCTCAGTTCCAGCCCTTACCTAAATGACCTTGGGCAAAAGCCACTTAATTGCTCTTTATCTTCAGTTTCCTTCTCCGCACAATGGAGGTGAAAGTAGCATCCACCTCCCAGGGTGAAAATCAAATGGGATAATGTATGTAAAGTGCACAGCAGGTTCCAATATGTAGTAAGTGCCCAGTAAGTATTTGCTCTTAATTGTTCAAGTTCATTGTTGGGCTATTTTTTTCAACCACCACTTAATATTACAGCGAGCGATGTAGATACACCACTGGGCGGGAAAACAGGCATAGCCTCCCAAACCGAATCTGCTGTTTGATGAATAACCTGGGCACGGTAGTTTGGAGATACATTAAACCACATTGGCTAAAATACCTTTTATAAAAAAGCTAGTCTCTCCCTGTCTAATTGGAATGCTAAATCCATGGCAATTAGTTACAATTGTTAATATTGGAGGAATTTTATGTGGAGGGTCAAAAGCGACTCAGTTTTTAGAAGTCAGCATCTCCCTGGAAAGAAGCTAAGATCGCATGAAATAAACATGGCCTCTGGAGCAGAGGGTCGGAATTCCCAACTCATTCAACTTATAACCAAGCTGTCTCGTCAGGCTCCTCAGTGCTTGAGAGTCATAGTGTATTCTCTGGGAAAGAAGAGTAATCATATCTTCCTCACAGATTCATTTTAAGGATTAAGTTCTGTAATGTATGTGGAACACCTAAATACCACTTGGTGTTGAGAAATCAGTTGAATTTGAGTCTAGGTTGACCGAATTCCTGCCAACAGCGCTCTCGTGGGAATGAGTTGAGCGGAAGCCCGTGGTGACACCCTAGTATAGACGTTAACCATTGGGCAGGGCTCTCCTTGGGGGACTGACCTGACGGGCTTCCTTTTCCCCCAGTCACCATGAAACAACACATTCTACACCTGGAGCTGGACGCAGAGAATAGCTACACAGCTGGACAGCTCCCCTTCCCGCCTGGCAGCGCTCCTGAGCCACTACACATTGGAGGTGTCCCAGGTAACTTGTCTTGGCTTCTTCTACACCTGTGTGTTGCCCCACGTCAGCTCTTAACATGTCCATCTTAACCCACCAAACCCAGTGCCCCTGCCCATGGGTGATTAGCTAGGCAGCGGTTGGCTGGATGATGGAGACAGAGAGGCCTTTTGCTCCAACACATGGGAAAACCCAATTGCTAGCAATGGGCACATTGTATAGCCCAGGCCATCTTACTGCTGCTTCTTCTGTCCCAAGCCTATCATTTATAAGCCCCTCTTAAGAGGCTGCATTAACCTAGAAGCCTGATACCAGCAAAGAATCAGGAGAGGGGCCGAGAAACTGATCTCTCCTCTCCAGGTGTTTTGTTTTACTGGTGAGTTATTAAGCTTTAGGGGATCAGAATGGGAGGATCATGCAGGTTCTGGAATTTTGCCTGGAAGGAGCCTTGTCATTCTTCCTTCTTTTACGTTCCTCCAAATGATTTGTTAATTTTATGGGTCTTCCATGACCCATAAAAAGCACAAGAGTTCAGAGTTATTATTTATTGATTTGGGCTGTGGAATTGGCTCCTTCGAAGAACTTGAAGAGTAGCCTTGTTGCTGATTTATCACAGCAGGCCGGGGTGTGGGGGGCCAGCTCAAAGGAGGAGGTGATCGGGTAGCCCGAGACCCTCTGTCCCTTGAGCTCGAAGAAGACTATTTTTTAAACTGGGTACATTCACTTGACAGTATGAATTATCCACTGAATGCCTCTCCTTTTCTCTTGAAGCTGGTTTGAAGACACTGAAGCTCCCGGTGTGGAAATCATTTTTTGGCTGTCTGAAGAACATTCGAGTCAACCACGTTCCCATCCCTGTCACAGAAGCTGTGGACACCCAGGGCACTGTCAGTCTGAATGGCTGTCCTGACCACTAACTCAAACCCATCACACAGCAAGGGAAGTCACCTCCAAGAGCCCAGTTCCCCAACACACCTCCCTCTCTCCCTGCAGGATCATTCTTGACTTAAGACACCCTCTAGACCGGGTTGCTAGCAAGTCGCATTTTGAATTCTGACCACACATAACTCATCATCTTGGCACTCAGTGCTCCATGTGTATTTTATATAGAAATCCCATTTCTTGAAGATGATGAACAAATTGTTACACGCTTTTGGTAATCTCCTTTCCCACTAAAAATGAAATGTCTTTTAAAGAACGTTGTCTTCCACCTGTTAAAAAAAATATCTTTTAAAGCACTTTAAAAACACAAAAATTGTACATGTGTTAAGGGGTTATAACTTATGGGGTTAAATAAAGGCAGTGTACTCTTTAAATGATGATGTTTTGTTAGCATTAAACCAATGGCTTGATGGGCATTGTTAATCATACTAATTCTTCCGCATGTGTTCAGTGTGCTACCTACAACACAGTTTTCTGCAGATAATCATTACGCACATACTGGCAAGGTACTGTGTGTGCTCAATGTTGGACACACAATCAGGCAGAAAAAGTAATTCCTGCCCTGAAGGAATATGCAGTCCTATTGGGGAGACACACAATATTCATAAAATAGTAAATAACTAACAGACCGAATTAATGAACCTCTATTTCCCTTTGGTTTCCCACGTACAGTCTGCTACCAACCAAGTCTCAGTTATGATTATCAATTCCTTGAGGGCAAAGACTATCTAGGAGGGGAGCTGAGATGGCCATACATCCTATAATTAGAGCTTTGCATGACAAGCTAACAGATAGGAAGGAGGACTTGCTTCTGGTTTTGTCTACAAAATAATGAGCCATGTACTAGACCACTATTATTACCCAGCACCACTCTTCTTAACGAAGAAGATTATATAAGCATTTTTGTGTCTTCTCCATGGTATTTGCCCCTCAGAAGAAAAATAATAATTCTGAAATTTGGACATAGTAATCCTCTATGGTATCCTCATTGCTCCCTGCCCTCCCCCCTCTGAAATGGAGCCACACTCCCTTCAACCCAGTGCTCCTCACACTGCAGGCCTGCGGGCATGGTTTCTAACAACCATACCTATGCAACTGTGGAATATTCTCCTGGGGAGGTAACAAGTTCCCCATCACAGAGGGCATTCAACAGAGGCTGGCTGGTGGGCATTAGGGTTGCTATGCTGACTCAGACATTGAATTGCACGACCTTAAGTCAGGTGTTTTCTGAAAACATTTGACTTCCCGGTGAAAACTTCATCAGGCGATCACCACTCAGACACTGAGTCTGCATGAAGAGCCTTCATTTTACCTGCCTTGGCACCAGCTACACTAAATGGGTGGTTCTCCCTTCTGGCTTCCTGGTGTTATTCTAACTGAAAGTGATTTATTAGTGCTGATTATTCATTAGCACTTCCTAGATTCATTAGAAAGGGACCGCGAATCCACTGACACCACCGGTTTTCCTTCCCTTTGGTAGTAGCTTGAAGACCAGCTGTCCCTCTGCCTTATCTCTCTGAGTGTCATCCCTGCCACCAGAGGCAGCCGAGGGTGTCACAGATGGAATTACAGTTAAGGAAACAGCCCTCGGCGTGCCCCTTCCCGGACTGTACATGCGTGTTCTCTGAAAGGAATGTCTACAGCTCCTCAACTGAACCATCGTGGAAATTCTCTGTAAACTGTAAAGTGCCATACAAATATTATCACTGGTGTCTTCTTCCTGGCTTAAAGCCCCTCCTGGATTGGGCTGACCTTGCGGTAGGAGGCTCAGGAGGGACAGTAGGCTCGCTGACCGTGACAGGTCCACAGTTGGTTTCATTTTGGTCCAGGGGTTGGGGGGTTGGTGAGAAACCCGGACTGTGAGAAGACCCACAGCGCAGCACAACAATCTGGACAACAGTCCCTTCTGGGGGCATCACGTGACTACAAAGCAGTCACGTGTCTTCAGGGGCCGCTTCCTTTGGCACCTCCCAGGGCACCTCCTGACCTCACTTCTCAGTACGAGGGTGGTTGAACTTTTGTCACACTTGCAGTCACCCCCTGGCAGAGGACAATGGCCCTGAGCAGAACATGCTGACATTTCCTTCCTCCCAGGTGGGAAGTGGTCTCACTTGCCCACAGAGAACTTTGACTTGGTTCCATTCTGCCCACTCCCCAGGCGATGCTGTACCACAAAATCCCCAGGCCGCGTCCTCTGCCCGCCCAACCACGTGGACTCCTGTCTCTCTCCCAGCTCCCTGGTCTCCAACCTCGGGTTGGTCAGTGCTAGCCCAGAGAGACCAGATTCTTTCTTAGGAATGATGGCCTAAAGCCAGCAACTGAATACAAATGGCATCTATGCTCACTATAGAAAAACCAGAATATGCAGCAAAGCATAAAAATCCCCTGTAGCTCATCACTCAGAAGTCTGTAGGTCTTCAGTACTCTCTCTGTGTTCCTCTTGCATGCACACATATTTCCTTACAGAATTGCAGTTCTACTGTATATATTTGTTTATAGTTTTATAAAAAGTATATGGTGACTTTTCCCAGGTCTTTGACTATAGGACATGCCACCAAATGAATTTATCATAATGTATTTAACCAACCTCCAACCGCTTAGACAACTGGGTTGTTTCAACTTTTTGTGATTATAAGCAACACTAGAATGAATATGTCATGGAAGATAAACTCATTTATTTGTTTTCTTATTCTCAGAAGTAAAACTACCGGGTCAAAGGTAAGAACATTTTTATGTTTGTGGCTAACTATTGCCATGTTGTTTCCTCAAAAGTTATATATCCGCTTACATTCACATCTTTTTGAACTGACCGTAGGGTCTGATGCCACTAACTATAAACTCACCACCATCTGCCCCTGGTCTTCAAGACGGGGAGCAGCTGTTGGAGCACACCAGCTCATAGACAGTCACCATGCTCCAGGCTCATCTGAGCCCAAATCCCAGCACCTGGAAATGCACGGTCAGCTGATGGGCTCTGATGGGTAATTCTGCACAACACCTGAAGGCTTAAAACGTGGGCAGTTCTATCATTTGCCCCAAAGGACTAGTGTTGAGCAACAGAGATCCAGGTTTGCAGAATATGTTACTCTCAGAGAGCTCCAAACCAGTGCCAGGCCTGGCACCTGCTTGCAGAAAGGAGCAAGGCACTCATCCGAGGATCTGAAGAACATACTGTGCTCTCTGGGCAGCCACCGAACCTCAGCCACAGGTCCAGCCAACGGCTACTTCCTCCTCCATCTTGTAAGTTTGCTTTCTTTGGGATTGAAACTTTAATAAGGATTCACTGAGGCAAAATGTCTAGGGTTTAAATGGGTAGAAGCTCAAGCCCCCAACCCTCTCCTCACCCTGCCCCTCCCCCGACAACGGAGAAATCCAAAACAGAAACTCTTTTTTCCTAACATGAGTGATAATGGTAATAATAGCACAATAATAGCACCAGTGGTAGGTGACAGATGTGTCATGTTTCCAGTTCCCTAATTTGCCAAACAATATAACTTAATTCCTCAGCATTGAAATGTCTGCATGCCTGAGTGTGGAAAGCAGAGACAAAATTGGAAATCTCTGTTAATCATCCTCGAGGTGAGGAACAATTATTCTCCCAGAGGGCAGGGTCCTGAGATGATGAATACTATTTACTGAAAATGGTTTTTTCTCCTTTGTTCATAAAGACTTCTATGACCTCAGAATGTGAAGTGTACCTTTCCACTGCCAGAAGGTCTTATTCCCCATAAATTTTGAATGTGTGGTTTATTTTACTCTACGTTGAGTCCTTGATAAAATGAGAATTGAGAATTTCAGAGGGTGATGGCCTGGAATTTTCTGCAGGATTTCTTGGTCTTCACGAATGCACACAGCACAGCGTACACTTACTGATTAAACCATCCCCGGCTCAAAAGGCTTTTGCTAATTAATCAGTAATGTTAATCATTTCACACTCAGGGAGCGTGCATTCCTGGACAGATCTAATGGGGCTGGGTATCCAGTGACATAGCTTGGCATGTTGTCCATTCAAAAGATAAATGTCAGTGGGTACTTACTATTCCTATAGGAAATAAGCTTCCTCAGAAGTCGTCTGTGCTCTGAAAAATAAGTGAGCATATCTAGCATTCAACTGCAGTGCCGTCCACAGAGAATACAATTCTTAATGTCATGTTTTTGGGATGTCCTCGGTGAGGCGGAGGCCTCTCTTGCGGGCTGAGGCACCGTGGGACTTCTAGTTGCTTCCTGAACCACAATGTCTAGCTGCTGATGAGACAGCTCCTGACAAGTCCGGATCCCAGTGGGGTTTGTCTCCTGCTCTACTGTTTCCCGTAATCCATCTCTTCCCACTTCCTCACAATTAGAGGGAAGCCCCTCGGAAAAGCCACCCCCCTCCCCACCTTCAGGAAAAACCTTTGCTCTTGGAAGTCATGTGAATCTGAGCCACTCTTTGCTCTCTTGGGTCTATAATTTCAATGGAGTTTCAGGCATGCAAGCTTTCTGTCAGATGGTTTAGAATATTCTAGAAGTTTGAGGGACAAAAAATTATATCCCTTACTTCACAAAGCTTCTCAGAAAGTTCAATGAGATGATGAATATAAACTGTTTTAGCACGCCGTTGTGGGTGTTACTTACTATTAACAATGTAAAACAGGGAACAGACATATCAGAAGTTGGATGCTTCCTTATGCCTTTAGTTTTTTTCTAGGAAAGGAATTCAAATGTCCAAGAGTATGGAAGCCAGAAACCTAATGAGGAAATTTCCTATTCTATTTGTGGCTTATGTTTATCACTTTTCCTGATTTGCCATTCCAGGGAGACAGCAGAGGAAGTCAACTTCCCCCTGTGTTTCTAGCACTGCTGTGTATGCAAGCAAGATATATTTCAGGGGAAGAAAGTGTAGTAGACGCGGCCTGTCGCCAGCTCATGTCCCTTCACTCTCCCCCCTGAAGGGCTAGCCGCCCTGACTTCCAAATGCCAGCACCCCTTTCTCTGAGGCCTTCCTTTGATTGCCAAAGTCAGCTGTGTCCACTCGTGCAGCCAGCTGCGAAGGAGTTAAGGCCCCAGGTGTGTCCCTTACCAATGACTCCTGGGACTTGGTGTCTTTTTCCCACCCGTGTTGGAAAGCACGTGTTATATACTGGTTGCCTGAGCTTCTCCAGCAGGATTCCTCTCCAATCGCCCAGAATGGAAACCGGCTTGGAGAGCTCACTTCATTGGCTACCTTCCCTTCTGTGTCTTCCTCCTTCCCTTTCCTCCCTCGTCACTGGTGTTTCTGTCACCTCCCAAATAAACTACTTGTACTCAAATCCCTATTCAGCTCGGCTTCAGGGGACCCCAAGCTTTAGGCACCCTCTAAAGAGTAGGTCTTGTCCTAAGTTTTCTTTT